AGCTTGTCTCGCTAATTGCTGCTCAACTTCGACTCTGTCTCTCCCTCTTACTCGCTCTATCTGATGCATGCATAACCGGTTATTATCATCTGGTAGATTGTTGCTTCAACTGGTAATTTCTAAGCTACCCGAGTGCCCTTTTCTTTCGTCAAATTTTTGCTCACTCCGATGGATAATTTTGCGAGCGATAGTTAAGAAAATTGGAATGTGCCTCTATCGGCTTTAGTTTTCCTTGGGAAATTTTGCGATCTTAGTAGTTTGAGCGAAGAACCGAGTCACTGTTGGGGAGTAAAATTTGAGAAATTTTTATTTTTAATAATCTTATTTTCTGTGTATGTAAATGAGTGCACATACCCGTGTAAATCTCACAGTAATCTCACCAAAGACCAGAGTCACTCTTAAGAAGAAAAATTTCCCAGCAGTTCCAAGTAGAATACAAAAAATTATTATCATCGAATCTTACCCCCAAAAGCCTCAATAATAATTATACTCCGTACCACGAAACGGTTCCCAACAGTTCCCTACATTTTACCAAACTTCCAAACCATATTCCCCACCCAAACGACTTCACACCCCCAAAATAACGAAATAAAACAAACCCAGCAAAACCACGGAAATAATCGAAACTACAAATAAGCAAAAGCCAAACAACACCCTGTAGCATCTGTCCTAGCAGCGAATTAAGCCCTCCTAACCCACGGGTTAACCGGATGGCTGCAATTTCCCGGTCCATAGGGCCTTTGTCGTCGTCGCGAGGCACGCACGGAATACCGAATGAACGGTTGTGCTCCCGTCGCTGCTTCTTCCTATGCATCTCTATCTCCCTCTCTCTCTCTCTCTCTCTCTCTGGTAACCGGTTCGATCTGTCGTAAATACCGTAAACAATTCCTCCGTGGTGATGGTAAAAATAGTCTGGACAATAATCGTAAAGGTAAAAAGGAAGAGGATTGGCCATCATAGCTCGCGTGCACCTGCGCGCGCGTTCATGTTAGATTACGAGCGTAAGCAGGCACGTGATACCACCGGGGCGGGTACACGCAGCCTAGACGAGGCTGTTTTCCGGAACAAAGATGCCGATGTAAGCTCTCGAAAATACAGCTCGCAATCTCTAGACCACCCCCCACCCCTCTCTTCCTCTCCTCTCCTTTTCTCCGCGTCTAGCCAACGTTAAACGGATGTATTATTATGAGCCACGTAGCCGCCTCTCGTCCGGGGATAACTGCATATTGCGGCTTAACCCCGTACCTTGTACTTTCGATAACGCCGCTAGATACATTCGTAACGCGAGCAGGACTGTAAAACCGGCCAGAGAGAATGTCGGAGTCGAGATGGCCCAAGGAAAATTGCAGGAGAGCTATTGGTTGGTACAAGGGTGAGCTCTGATGCTTGCGGATAATTGTGTTCGGGGCGGTTTTTTGGAAAGAAAAACGAATTTTCAGGGGTGAGTCTGGGTGAATTCTTTTGGAGGGTGAAATTTGAGAAATGGTAGGAGGAAAGTATTAATTTCGGTGTTTAAGCTTTAAACCGCTTAACCTACGATTTCTTTTCTGACTGTGCATCTAAGCGTTAGCCATTTTATTGTTTTAGCACTGTACCAGGTAACAAAAGCTGATCTGTGAAAGATTAATT